CCCTCCCTGCTCCCAGCAAGGAATTACAGCCACAGTCAGCATGGCCACAGCCAATGGAAACATGGCAAACATCCCCATGGGTTTATGATGCTCCCCCTGTCCTTCAGCACCACCAAATATTTTAGATTTAAAATAAAGGAGTGGCCATGGAAGGGATGATAAGGCTTATCATTATTCAAGGCTTTGGATTATCACTGGTTTTAACTGAACAGAAGTGACTGACATCACTTGAATTTCTGAATCAATACAGTGGGGCTCTGCTGACTGAACACCTGTGTGCCCAGTTGGAAAATGCAGCTTGAACTGGCTGAACTGGGCCAAACCCACACCCCTCCTGACCACCAGTAAACTGGTTTTACAATCCATCCACACCCTGAAGCAGCCATGGCACAGAGGGACCACTGGGTGGCTTTGTCCATCACAGGCTTCTAGGGTTAAAACCCTAATTCCTGTTCTTTGTGCTGTTTGAGACAGCTTTTTGATAAAGAATAATACTCCAGTGAGGTCAAGTCACAAGCATTGTTGGTGTTAATGATTTAAAAATATTTTACCTCTGTTGCTTCTGGTAGAATGAAATCTTCAGCCTGCTGTAAGGACACATGCAAGCTGTGTTTTCCTTGAAGACTTTCATTATCTTTTTGCAGTCTCACCAACTCTTCTGAAACCTGCTCCCTTGACTGTGTCAGGACAGCCTACAATGCAAAGAAAAGCAGAAATTCACACTCAGGGTCATGCTTAGATCTCTTCTGCACCATTTACTACCCCTACTTTCAGCAGTCTGGTGAGTTGATATTTTTTGTAAAGAAGGGAAACAAAATGATGCTGTGGATCAACACCAGCAGCTCCCTCTTGCCTGGCAAGGCCAACTTTAGGGGTCCAGGCAGAGAGGAGGAAGGCAGTGATAAATAAAATCCAGCTGTGTTCAGTGTCCCACTTTCCTCCTGTGTTTATCCATTTGCTGGCTGTGCTCATGGAGGGGAAGGAGGGTGGGGAACCACAGGTGCTTTAAGGAGCAAGTTATCCAAAAACCTGAAATATTCACCCTGGAACTTTCCATGGTGGGTGTCTGCCTCCCACTGTCCTCCCAGGAGAGCACCAGAACAGCTGATCCCATGGAAAGGAAAGGGATGAAGAGGACATGGCTTTGCTGGCATTACAAAGGAAAAAAAAAATCCAGGGGAGTTTTTCAAGAGGAATGGAAGTGGGGAACCAGGGACTTGAGCAATAGCAGGAGAAGCAGACTCAGATCAACACATTTTCTGAATTTCCTGCACATCCACCAGATGTGTTCTCATGCAGAGCATCTCTGGCAGCAATGCCCTGATGTGCTGCACACAATCCCTGACCCCAAAAATGCAATACTGGGGTTCATGAGGATGATTTCTCTCAGTCCCCCACAAATGCTATGCCAGGGAGGAAAAAAGAACAAACTTGATTCTGATATAGAAAGGAATGAGTTGCTACAAGGAAGTCAAACTTAGTTCTAAACCATGAGGTCCTCTTCCAATTCTCTGGCTTAATTCCAACAAGATGCCCAAAAATAGTTTTAAAAAATTAAGCTTCCATACATATCTCTCCCTGGGTGTTAGGGCTGCTATTTTAAGTCTGACCTGCAACAACACTGATCATTCATCTTTAAACCTGAGAAAATATTCACTAATGATGGTACTTGTGATGAATCCTAAAAAAGAGCCTTGAGAAAATCTTCTGTCTTCAGATTTGAGGTGAAGTTGAGATAGCAGAGACATGGAATTGGACCATGAATAAGGGGGAAAGAACTGGGCAGTGATCTGCCTGCTCCTGAATGTGCAGGAACACAGACAGAGTCGTGTTCCTGACAACACAGGAACAGCAGCACAGAGTGACACAAACTGATCCAGCCCCAGCACTGCCATCACAGCTCACTGGGCCAGGCCCTCTGCAAGTGCAGATGCTCAAGCCTGGCTGGGCACACAAAGCCTTCTCCAGACACACTGAGCTCCCAGGGTCAGACAAACAGGGCTGCTCATCATCTCTGGAGTTAACCTGTCTTACCATTTGCTCCTGGACACTTCTCTTGGCTTGCAGAAATGCCTGCTGCAGCTCACTGAGGAAATTCTCTGACTTCTGACACTTGGCCATGAGCAAGGAGATCTTAAAGAAAGAAAACACAGACAGACATGTAAGATATAAAGCATGGAACAGATTCTGAAAAAGAAATAATTTCTCTTGCCTGTTATCATTACTAATAGGTACTTTGAAATTTCAAACTAAGCCACTGAAGTTTATGTTAATTCTTCACTCAGTCAAGCAGGAAAGCAGCTCCAGGCAGCAAGGACAGATGCTGTGTTTCTGCACCAACAACATCTTTATATTCTACTTACCAAACTCTGAATCAACAGTTAATTCTAATAAAATTTACATGTAAGCCACTTAGGAGACACTGAAGGGAAACCGAAGAGCTTTTTTCTAAGTTTTCAGCATTTTTTGAATTTTTGTACCTTTCTCAGTAAGCACTTTCAAAAACTTTACAAGTCATTCCACAACACATGTAAGATTAATCATTACTTAATTAACATCACCCTGGTACAGCCAGAAGAACATATAAACATATTTCTGCTGTCTAAGTTGGACTTTGTCTAATGTTTGTTTCTTCAGTAAGAAAAAATACTGGGTAGGATGGAAGAGACAAAGTTCCAGCCCAAGTGAAGTAAATTCAGTGTCTGGTACACAGTAGGTATCTACTATTGGAAGCTTTAATAGGCCAAAGATGATTTATTTTTTTCCTTTTTATTTTTAACTATGACTACCACCCATTATATTTGGCCTCGTTGTTCCAGAAGAATTAGATACACATCTCAGACTGAAAAATCCTTCCAGTGGGCTATTATTTTAAAGGAGTTCAGTGCCTGCTCAGCTCCTCATTACTGCATTCTTCAGCACAAGCCCATTAACTGGTGTCAAATGTTGATAAGAGCAGCTGGTGGAACAGAACCACTCTTCCAGCAACATAGCTGTGCCCAGGGCACAGGGCTCTGTTTGCATGTTTGGGTCATTTCAGACACAGGTCACTCCAAAACTCAAACATTACTCAAACTCCTACTGCCACTCAGTAATGGAGTTCATGATTAGAGATGATATTTTTAAGCCAAAATTGGGTAACACAATATTAGAGACACAATAGATTTCTCTAGAAACTGTGGCAGACTCAGGTGGAGCGTAACTAACCCTAGAAATTCTCATTTATGTTGCCTGTACAGCCAATAGCCCATCCATATATAAAAAACCACAAGTTCTTGTTACACACTTTTGAAGAACATTTCATCATTCCTGCACCTCAATTACAAATCCTTGTACCTGATTAGAGGAGTCTTCAGCACTTTGTTTCATGTAATCCTCCAGTTCCTGTTTATCTTTCATTGTCTTTTCCAGCTGGTCATTAGCTTGCCTCAGCATCACCTGCAGCTTTTTCACCTGTGTTGTCACAACAAAATTAATTCATTTTTTATTCTCTTGGGGAGAATTTATTTCCTGAACCCTTTCACTCCTCAAACCAACAACACAAAATCCCTCAAAAATCAAAAAATCCTATGAAACTCAGGATTTTTTTTGCTGTTGAAACAGGCTCCAGCAGAGATTATCTCCTTAAGGAAACATGGGACATCAAACTGCCCTGGACCATGGCCATGTAATGACTTCAATCACTTATTTCAAAGCACAATGTGACTCATGCCTTCCACACCCATCTGAAAATTGTTCTTTGGTATATGGCAGGAAACAAATATCCTCCAAGACTTGAAAGTCATTTTATGCTGCTAGGATGAGGTCCTTTTCTGTTAACAGATCTTACAGTATCAAAGATAATAGAATTTAATGCATGACAAGCATTTTAAAATATAAATTATTAAAGATACTGACTTCAGCATGGGCATAATACTTTTTATAGAACACTAGTGCATGGCCTTACAGCATCAAATAAAGGGTTCTTCAAGGTGAATCCCTAAGAAATTCATGTACTTGACCACACATAAATAACAAATCAAGTTATGTCAGGTTATCCAGTATGTTGATATTGGTCAATTAAAACCAATGAATAAAACAGAACCCTTAGTAGTTCAAGAAGCTGCATAAGCCTGGCTAAAGCAATGAGAGAATTCCCACCTGGTCTCTGGTCTCAGCCTCCTGGATCTGGATCCCTTGCAACTGCTTCTCATAATTGGAGCACATGTCACAGCGCCTGCCCAGCTTGTTCCCTGCATTCTGCACCTGCAGGACACAGAGTCAGCACCTGCCCTGAGCCAGGGGAGTCCCCAGGGAGTGCAGGAATGCTCCACACACTCAGGTGTGGTGTGGCCACAAAGCATTGCAGACAAAAGAGTGGCAGAATCATGTAAAGGCAGGGTTGAGTTGCTCTACAAGTGAAGGATAACTCAAATCAGCTGTGGGATTTCAGCTTTTCCTGTCATGGGTCCCACCATTAGCACAAAAAGCCAAAACACAAAGAGTTCATCAAGTCACTGCTGTGCTCTTCTGACAAACAGAAACCAGACAGGAGAGCAGAAAATAGTTGTTGGGGAAGGCAGCAGGGAAAGCAAGAGTAAACCTGCTGTCCTGCTGGAACTGCAGTGGTTTTGGACAAAGGGATAAATGGAAGTTTTATCAAAGTTCCAGCTGCAAGTCAAGTTGGAGCTGAATCTGTGTTTGTGTTTGCTGCTCCATGTCCAACCCACAGCAAGAGGCATTTACACCCCAGTGTGTGCTCCTGCCTCCAGAACATGTGGGAAGCTGCATTTCTGTTCTGGATGCTGAGACAGGGCTGAAGTGTCACCAAAATGTCAACAGGCCAAGGGAACACTCAAGAGTAAGGATCTAACTCAGCTCTGAGCTCAGGATGTTGTAATTTCTCCAGATATGGCAAATCAGTAGGAAAACAACAACAAAAACAAAGCAACTTTACAACAGTTTTGGAGAGACCTCCTAAGTTAAATTTCAACAAATTGAGAAAAAAAAAATCAGCAGTTCTTCATTTCATCTGTCCTTCATCTGGCCTTTTCTCCTTCACTACATTTTTTTTATTCCCATCTTGTCTCCCTTTTGACCCAGTATGGATTATTATCTCCCCCCACCTTTTCACCTCCCTAAAGTGTTGCTCTTTGACCTCTCTTCCTCTGAAAGAAAAACCACACGAAACCCCAAATACTCCACTTTTCAGCAAAAAACCAAATACAAGCTTTGAACTGGCATCATATAAAGCTGCTGAAAAACTGACAGGCAGAACACCCAGAAGCAACAATTTCCTTGGTCATCCACAGAGCAACTGGGCCAGGGGTCAGTCTAATCTGCTGCTTGCTGCTCTCAGAAATGGGTTTGTGATGATGCAAGTCCCCAGCAATTTCCTGGAGCCTCTCTGGGGTACTCTGTGTATAGTGTGTGTGTGTGTGTATATATATATATATACACACACACACTATATACTATAGTATATATATATATATATATATATATATATATATATATATATATATACATACACATATATGAGCAGCCAAACTATACATACTCCACTTGGGTATAGTTTGGCTGCTCATTTCCAAAGTGCACAGCCCTCAGCAAACCCCCCCAGCACACAGAGCAGCACCCCCAGCTCTGCTGCTTCTGCTCCTGTCTGCCTTCTACTCATCCCCAGCTCCACTATAATGCCCTTTCCTCAACTTCACATTTTCTCCTGAAGTTCTCCCACCTTTTTCCCCCCTCTCAGGCAATACTGAGTTCCACAGCCACCTCCAAAATCCAGAGCATCGTGTGTTTAGTAAAGCTGCCTGTCCCAGGGGCAGGGCCAGCTCATCCACCTTATACTGGATGTGTTTCACCCACAGAAGCATTCCAAGAGGGGAGAGTGAACATCTGCCCTGGATGTGAGCTGTTCCTTCCCCAGCTGGCTCTGGCAGAGCCCAGGAGGAGGAGGAGGAGGAGGAGGAGCAGGGCAGGGGGACTCACCTCCTTCTGCAGCAGGTTCCACTCTGTCTCGCTGACCAGGCGGTACCCGCTGGGGGACACATAAGCACTCTCCACGCCCTGGGTGACACTGGAGAGCAGGGAAGCAGTCTCTTCTTGCTCTGGTGTCATTGCTTTGATTGCTTTTTCCTGATCTTTGGTCAACATGAACCCGCTGGGCATTTGCAGGGATCCGAGGGAAGCCGTATCAAAGTTCTCAGACACTGAATCTGCTCCAACAAGTGGTCCAAAATCTGACTCATCCAGGTTCCCAGCAGATTTTGCTTTGTTGTTGTACCCTAAAGCTTTGGACTGTAAGGATCCAGATGTGCCCAGACTGTCTGTTGACTGTGCTCTCCTAAGTCCATCTTTAAACATATCAGTGTCTGGTTTATTGAAGGATTCGCCAGAGGAAAGAAGCAAGTCTGCATCCAGGGAATGGACTGAGCCATGGGTGCTGTTCACATGCACCTGGAATTGAAAATCAAGGAATAAAACAAATATTTACTCCATTTTAGTGGTACAGGAGCAATGCTGGACACCAATAACAAGGCATGGCAAAGGCAAGATTAAATTTCTTTGGCAAGAACATTTGCTATTTAAGTTTAAGGTCACAAAAGAAGGGACAGAGAACTGAAATGAACCAGTTAAAATTCAAAAACAAATAAAACAAGTTTGAAAAGTCTTCTTTTAACAGAGTGCTTCTGTAAGACTACCTTCCTGCCAGACAAGCAAGGACACAGTCACCTTCCATCTTCCAATATTTGAGACAAGACGTACTTGCAACATTTCCTCTATAACCATAGTCTACACAACAGAAGGCAAATACTCCACTTCCAAAAGGAAATTCAGAAGTTTTTCATAAAACAAAACAGTTTGGATTAACAGAAAAATAAACAGAGAAAAATATACTTAAAATCTACTCCACACCGACAAGTATATGTTGTTCTTCTATTTTTCTCTTCTGCTTTGTGTGTCTAACAAAATACCAAAATATTTTCTTCACAATGTTATTTGTACATTAAAAAAAAGAAAAGGGAAAAGGCTGGGCTTAGACCCAAAGGTATCCTGGGGACTGCCAGCACAAAAAGCCACACAAATTGTCCTGTGATGTGTATCAGGCACATGGAGCCTCTCAATCTATTTTTGTTTTTTGTAGCACTGAAAAGAGAGCAGTAATGCTTTATTTAAAAAGCACATGACTGCTTTCAAAATACCTTCCAAAATATTATGCACTTCTGCTTTGCCATTAGACACAAGGAAGTAACACTGGAACCAGGCTCTTGAGAAAAATTATCATTTCTGAAATAGGTCCAGAGACCAGCAGGCTGCTGGCACTTGATATAAGTGCTTGTAACCTATAATATATATATATAATATAGAATGTATATATAATGTACTACTGTTTTATTACTGTTGTAAATACCTTGTTTTAATCATTTTTAGGTAGAATAGTTCTATTTGCATGTATATATACAAGTTCATAATAAAAAAGTCAAGGGAATACAGACTTACATAAAACTGCATTTTCAGGCTACAGCTGTTCTGTGATAACCAAAACAATATTAACAAATCATCTGTTTGTATTGCAAACTGCCCAAGAGAGAGGATCTTAGAAGCTATAACAAATTACAACAAGTTGTAAGAACTGATGAATGACTGATTACAACATATAAAACACATTCTGAACAGCTAAAAAGGTCATAAATAACAAAACCAAACACATACACAAACCCAAACCACTCTGAAAATTATGCTCCTCAAAATATAAATTTTCCAGGATGTATAAATCTTAGAAGCAAATAAGTGTTGGGAACGATGGACTAAAGAATATGCTATGAACTGAGATTAAAGAAAACATCAGCATATACATTTTTTGTTCCTCACCAGCGTGCCTCATTTGCATGTCTGGACATGGAAGATACAAAGGGTATTTGAAACAGAAAGTGAATATAGGCTAAAGGGTAGAACTAGATCTCAGCTACATTTAGATCTCACGATTCTGAATGTCTTTCTGCATTCTGAACTGTTATAAATCCTTGATAAAAATAAAAAAATTACTTCAGAATACATATATTAAAGTATATACTTTTTTCCCTTCAAAAGTGATAAAAAACCAGGCAAAACACTGGCTCACTCAAGTCTCTTGAAGGTTAAATAAGCTCCTATTGCACAAAATATTTGTGGGCTTTTATTAATTTTTCCTTCATTTGACTCACAAAACCAAAATGGACCCTAAGAAAGGTTAAGTACAGAATTCAACAATTTGATTAGCAAAGTAGCTACAACACTCTTGTTGAATGTTCAAATATAATTGGCTTAATCCTGAACATTTAGGTGTGTTAGAACGTGCTTAGAAATCCCAGGAGGACCTACCAGCAGTTAACCTCCAGAATGCAAAATGTAAATTACCATTTTTAATGGCACCTCTCAGGATGGTGCACTATTGTCTTCCAATCCTAATTAGGATTTATACATTCAACTGCAACTCTGTGGATTTTTACTGCTTAATATGATTAGAAGCTACAGAGAATAGAGGGCTGTAACTTTGCATTTGTATTTGCAGTGAACACCCTGAGGAATGCCCAAGCACAAGTAAAAGATTCAATTGTTTTACCTCTTCATTAGAGAGCTGGGTAAGGGTTTCTTCAGGGGCCAGAGAACATGAAGCCTTTGTTTCATCATCTGAATCTTTTTGCTTCTCTTCCTTTCTCTTGCTAAGCCTTTGCTGATCATCTTCTTCCTAAAAATCAGTGGTCAACAGAGCATACACAGAAAATGGGATTCAATTTCACCATAATAGTCATGACATCAGCTTTCATGATAAACTAAGCTACAAAGAAGACACTGAAAAGGATTATTTTGGTTAAAACCCAGTGGTTTTCACATAAATATTCATTTAGTTAATAAATACAGTGTTCATTTCACAAGGCATCCAAACTGACTGAAGTGAGAACTTTGCATGTTTAATGGCTGATTCATGTCCTAGAATGATTTTATTCAAAAAGCATATTACTTAGTTTAAAATTCTAATTATAAAGCTTAGCAATTAACAAAACTAGCTGTTACACTGGCTATTGTATAGACTATAAATACATAACATATCTACACCCCCAAAAGACCCATTAGCAACCATTACACAAGCATGAACATTAAAAAAAAAGTGAAACAGGAAGTGCTTGATCACTAAATGATGGAATATAAGGAATCAAGAAAAACCCTAATAAATCACTAAGTCATAAATATGCACGATCACTTGTGTAAGTTAATTTAAAATGAAAGTCCTAATTTATGCTTAGAATATGTACTGGAAGGCTGAAAAAACCTAGAAAGAAGTGAAATTTGCTGACATCCTTAACCCAGACATTTTGCATCACAGATGACTATTTCTTCCTCCAAGAGTAATTTCTGGATATTTTTACATTTTCATTTAACTATTGCCAACATTAGAGTTCCTATATACACCACTATTAAAATACTTGTCCAAATGGGGTCTGTTCTAACTGCCAGCTGTCACTCAAGGGGAGATTTCAGTTCAAACTGCCAGTTCTCATTTTTTGAGCTATTACCACACTTACACCCAACATGTGATTTCCATGCCTGTTACACCACAGCAAACCTACAGTATTAAAAACCAAAAATAAAAGCAAGAAGAGGAAAGCAGCAGGTAACCTGATCCTTTTTTTTCAGCTCTTCCACCTGCCGGAGCTGCTCTGAGGTGAGCACAATTTCCATCCTCTGCATGTCCCTCATCAGCAGCCTCTGGGACTCCAGGAACTGGTCATTGGCTTTCTGCCACGTGTGTTTCAGCTGGTTGTGCTGCTGCCTCTCTTGCTCTAGCAGATGGCAAACTATGCAAGCAGAGAAAAAAATTCTTCTGAACCACAAGTGTTTAAATATCTTTTCCAAAGAGAAGCATTTTCAGGAATAAAAGTAATTATTGGTCTAATTAAGAACAGTCAGGCTTTGTTCAACAACTATTTAGGTTAATAATGTCTTATTTCAAACACCATTTTCTTAATTTCCAAACTTTGCTTGTGATTAGGGATATATTACTGACAGTTCAAGATTTCCCAGGGAGAAGACTCAAGCCTCAACTTCATTCATGAATTCTAACAGTTTTGGGGTTTTTTAGTGCTAGGTTCAGAAAATTGTCTTCTACATCCCTATTTACTTCAGCAGCAGGTCCTGGTTTCCACTCCTCTGCAGACCCTGGGCTGTGGTGCCCTACAGGGACATTTCCACACTCAGCACTGCCACACCTCAGGGAGCCAGGTCTATACAGTATGGAAATAATGCTCATAATTATGCACAAATACAATACACACCTAAAATCACTTCAGCAAGAATGAAGCTTGCAATGCTTTAAAAGCTTAGCAGATATTCAACAAAAAGCCTTGAGGGAATGAATGACTCTGCTGTTTTTCTGACATAAGGGAATTCCACATTCGATTCTTCTACAAACATTTTATGGCCTTTCACATTTAAAAGTCCTGCTTCCATCTCCCAATTTCTTTTCATCAAGTTCAAGTAAGAAATGATAAAAGAATTCCCAGCTCCACTGGGTTTTGCATCCTCAGTGGAGAGAGTCAAAGGACTGTTGTTAGGTGGGTACCTTCATGCAGCTCCTTCCTCAGCTTCTCTGCATCTTCTTGCAGGACTGATTTTTGTGTGTTGAGAACAGCCACATACATCTCCAAGTCTGTCCTACACGACTTCTCAGCTTCTAAATAATGGTTCAGTTCTTTAACCTGAATAAAAAATAACCAGCTCATTGGGGGAACACTCTCAGACATTTCCTTCTTGTTAGAAGTCATAGTGCTGCCTGATCAGGTAATGTACAGGTGCTGAAGGACCAGTTTATTTGCAGAAATCCCAAATATTCAACTACCAGTTTGCAAGCAGGGTTTGTATTTATTTACTTGTGAATGAGTTACTCATTAAAATTCTAAGTCAAACCTATCAGTGTATCACAGTTATAGCAGCTGGATCACAACAGCAGCACTGAGCACAGATGGTGAAAAGGGAAATATCTCAGGAAAGCAGACAGTGAAGTAATCAGTGGTGATAGCCAGGATCTAAATAACTGATAAATGCTGATAAGCTAAGAACTCATTCATTCAAAACAGAGTAGTCATAATAGAAAAAAATTAAAGAGGCAAGCTTGAAGTAAGCTTAAGAGGAGAGAAACTTGGGGACAGACAAGAAAAGAAACTTTCCAACTCATGAACGACTGATGTAAAAAGGAAGGAAAATCTATCAACAAAAAGCAACTACATCAAGAAATACTGAAGAAATATATTTGGACTTTTTTCTTCTTGTGTGTTTTTTGTTTTGGTGTTTTGTTTAGTTTGTTTTTTTTAATATCAGAGCTAACAAAGTGTCCTGCAGAATCTCCAGTCAGAACCTTCTAAGACAGAGCTACATAAATACCTGTCAGACTTGATGCCGGGAGAAATGGATTCCATCTTGGAACAAGGAACAAATTGAAAGATTTCTTTATGGCACTATTCAGTTTTACAGTTTGCTGAGTCAGAAATCACAGGAGATTTTATCTCAGAGAAAACCAAAGCCCTCAGGCAATTCCTAAGTGGCTGCAGAGAGCTGCTGCTCATATGGGACACACTGACGCCAAGGCAGGGCTCAGGACAGCCTTGGGCTGTGCCTGCCACGGATGGTGGGGACAGCTTTCCTGCCCTAGGACACCAAACCTTCCATCTGCTGCCCTTTAAGCCTTTCAAATGGCAAAGTCTGACTTCGTGGCTCCAAGTGTGCCAATAACCCAGACCAGGTGGCTGGGAGAAGAGCAAAGCAGATATTTTTCTAGAGCTTTTTCTATTATTAGTAGACCTGGAGCTGTGCAATTTTTTCTAAACCCAGATCACACACACATAGTGCAACTCTCAAAACAAAAAGATGCAAAAATATATTTAGGCCAAATATGATATTTGAGCTCCAAGAGACAAGAAGGGCATGAAGAGCTTCCCAATACACCTTTTCCTCTCTTATAAAATTTGACTTGTCTGCATCAAGCTAGCATGCTGCAAGATATAAATCAGGATCCAGTTAGAGCTCCACCTCACCTCTGATGCTGCTTTTATTTTTTCTTCAGCTTCTGCCAGTTTCTCCTTTAGGGCTGCAATCTCTTTCTCCATGGGCATCACAACTGAGCGCAGCTTCTCAGCATCTTCCTGAGCCTGAAGTTCAGAAAATAAATTATAATGCATCATCAGAATTTCACAACAGTTCCCATTACTGGAGACATTTGGAGAAAATCTCTACATCAACAAAAAAAGCTGACTAAACTTCCACTTTCAGTGCTCATCTTACTGCTATTTATTTAGTTCAGCAGCCATCTCTGTGACAATGAGCTGATATTACTCCATTCACAGAAGGCAACTAAATTTTAAATCTATGTATGGGTTAAACCACAAGTATCTGTTTTAAAAGAGAATGTTAGCAAATCTATCACTCTTGATGCCTGGGAGAAAATGTATGGATCAAGCATTTAAAACAATGTGCACTTTTCCTTTATTGAAGGCCAAACTGTCCCACAACCTGCTGCCACATAGCACACATGAAAAAACCCAAAAGAAGTGCATGATGAGGTACTGATCATGCAGTCGCTTACTCAAAAAGCTAAAAGTAAATGGAACTGCACAGTAATGCCCAGTGTAGCTCAGTTCTCTTTTAAAAGATAATTTTTCAACTTTACATTACTACTGATGGAGCATCAGGTTTTGGTGTTACTGTACTGAATATTTCAAACTATATATAGACAATTTATCCCATGATTTCTTTCAAAATGCAGCTCTGAGAAGATCAAAGAGCAGCAGAATTAGAGGATTATTTCAAGGAAAGGGGGAAAAAAAGGGAAAATCAGGTAAAAATAGCAAGAATTAAGATGAGACATAGCATTCAGGGTTCAAAACCAGAACTGCACATTAATGTGTGGCCCTGACATCCCCATTTCTTAAATGCTCTGCCTTTCCTTCAGGGATGCACTGCAGACTTTCCAAGTGAAAGGAGCAGCTCCCACAGCCTCCCCAGGAGCCAGCAGAACACTCAAATACTCGCTGCAGTGAAACTCTCCAAGGCACAGAGAATTCCAGCATTCTAATTTGGGCTGGCTTTGTGCAAGAGGCTCAGAAAGCTCAGCTGTTCTCTGTCTTCTACTGGAAGAACTCAGCAGGGGAGGGAGGGCAGGGAACTGTGCCCCAAAGCTGGAGTTTCAAATGATGGCACCTTTCATAACCTCATCAGCAAAGACAGACAGTAAATGATAATAGTAAATGATAACACTCATGTCTGGTTTTGAAACTAGACCAGAATGCAGATTTTAGAGGTTACTCATTTGACTTTCAATTTCTGGTGAGCTTATTGACAACTGTACTCTGAGAAAAACTTTCAGGAAGAGAAATAGAAAATATTTTTAATTATTGAAGCTTTCTAACTAAAAATTAATAGACAAAATAAAATGTTATTGCAATACCTGTCAATTATATAAGCACTGCAATTTTTAAGCTTTACAGAAAATTGTGAAGACAACACTAAATTAAATGTCTTTACATTTAATTTATTTCTGCTACATTTGTCACTGCTGAAGTACCAATAAAAGCTGTGAGGAAAGCAAGGGATGTCACTTGGCAGTGAATTCAATACCAGGGACATGTGACTGTCATACACACCCAGACCCTGGTGCTTGCAGCCAGCAACTCAACAGTCACATTTTTCAAACAAATGGGAGCAGGAGTTGCACTTCAGGCATTGCTTTATATTTCATTTATCATATCAGTTCTATTCATTTCATAGAATGAATTGAACATTCTTTTCTAATTATTCAGGATAACTGCAGCAATATTTCACTGCCAGCCTGGTTTCACATGGCTCACCACAGAATACAGAGCAACAAATGTGCCTGTGTAGGAACCAAGCAGTTCAGAGAAACAGTCAGAAAGTTCTCTGAAAGCAAAACCAGACTGTGAACAACTGGAAAGACAAAACTGTATCACATTTCACATACAGAAAAATTACTCCAGCTTTAACTGCTTGGTAAACAGAGCTGCAGTTTGACACTGTGGTTGCAACATATTGTAAGGATCCCTATTAAAGGTCAGTGTGATCTTGAGCTAAACACTCCAACAGCCTCTCTCTGCTATCAAAAGCATTGCTGGGCCCTGGGTCTGCTCTGGACATAAAGCAGAATTACTGAGACTCCAAAATCGAGGTTAAAGCTCCACTCAACCTTTTATTAAAAGGAGAATATCTGTTGTGTTGAAAAATGCCACTTAAAGATACTGTCACGTGTGGCAAGAGGTGCCACAGCACCAAATTTCCTGTGCTAAGAGGTGTTATTCAGACTCTTACAGAGGTGTGATCCTTAAAATATTTATTTCCTTTTGACTTTTTATTAAACTTAACTTGGCTGTCAACTGCCACAGTTTTACATGTGATCAGCTCATCTTTACTCATTCCTTAACCAAAAACCAAGCACCCAAACCACTTCTGCCCCAGCCAAACCTGCTTTCCCCAGCACAGGGGCTGCAGAACACACTGAGGGACCTGCAGACCACAGCAGGAAAATGACTCCATGCAGAGATAATGCTAAAAATGAGTCCAAGGCATTTTCAGAGGAACAAACATCTGACTGGAGAAATCCCAGGTAACATCATACCTGAGCTTGTTCCTTAAAAATGAGACAAGTGGAACACACAGACACAATTTGAAGATTTTTTTTTTAAAGCAAGACTAAACCATTTAAAACTTCTCTAAATTTATCCCACTGTTCTTCACCATTACCAACAAAAATAGCTTACTGTATATCAGATTTTATGGCCAACTCTGTCACAGAAATCTGATTACTCTTCCCTTCCAATTTCCCCTCTCCTGACTAATAAGCACAATTCCTAACAGGAGCTTTGTACTTTGCTGCTCTCTCTGTACACAAAATACCTGCTCTGCAGACTTCTGCTCCTCAGAGTTTGACACAACTGTGCTAAGAAGAATATTTATATTCATCACAGCTCCAAGAGCAAAACAGATCCTTTCCTGAACAGAAAATGAGGTCTGACTTTAAAAAAAAAAACCAAGTCATATTTTGCCAGTGGCCAAAGTTTGGGCACAACTCATCCCCATGTCCAGAGGCAGCTCAGTCATTCCCCAGCAGGGAAGTACAAGCTGCTGTGCTAGATTGCTTTTAGCTGCTATGAAAACAAAAAAACCCCAGACCTATCTGGTACTACAACTCAACAGGAAAACAGATTTTTATAAATCACTGCCAAGTTTTCTGAAAGATTAATCACTAGGTGAGCATGTTAATCATTAGGTCAAGGTATCCACCTTTTTTGAGTTGGAAAGGGAGATTAGGAAGACAAAGTTGCAAGGTTTTCTTAGAAAATGATTTCTTAGAAATCATTGGTTTATGATACAAAATCACAGAACAGACAAATTCTCCACAGAAATTAGCAATTTGCAGCCTGAAATGTATTTACATGGAGAAGCAAACAAGAGCATGTATTCCACCAGACAAGCTCTTTCTGACAAAAGAACACATAAAGATGGAGTATAAGCATTGCTGGCTGCAAATGCCATTTTGCATGAGGAATTGATCACAAGTCTTCAAATAACACATCCCAAATGATCAAGAAAGTTCCTGTTTTCACACTGGCTGCTGACACATGAATATTCATTATTTTGCTGCCCAAGCAAACCTTTTTATGGGCTTGGGATTTGCTTGTTTGTTTTTAGGTAAAATTGAATGTCCTCTTCCTAATTTTGATCTAATTCTTAGTCTCCTTGAGGAAAAACCTCACAGGTTTAATAATAACAAAGAAGATTAAAACCTCATGCAAAGCAGTTTAAGCAATTATTTCAAGCTGCACTCTTGAAAACCAGATTTCCCCCTCCCCCTCCTATTACATAAGGTACATGTTCCTCTGCTTTACAGGCCTAGAAAGCTTTCCAAACTCCTATTACCAGAGATTAATAAACTGATCACCTTTTCCTTTAGGGATATTTAATTCCCTTTTAAAGAACTATAGTTGAAAATGCTATTTATCTGCTAAGCTGAACTTCTCTGCTGAAGCCACTGAGTTTAGGTGAGCTGTGCTGTCATGTCAGCAGCTTGCAATTTCAATTTACACAATCAGTAATTTCAGATTAAAAATATGAATCAGTTGAAAGAGATTGTTCTCTGGAAGTGCTCATTGACAGGTAGTTGGGAGTGCAGTGCCAGAACGTTTACATTGTGAACTCTGCATCTTCTGGGTTGTTTCTACAAGACTCACTGATCCAGTTTTGAACCTCCATTCAATTTCAACCAAAGTCTTTTTGTCCTTAAGACTAAAACCTTTTCTTAAAAAACAGTAAATGTCTTACAATGGCAGTGGGATTAAAACAGGCTTTATCCTGACTTTTACCTTTGAAATCAGGGTTCCATGAAGAGCAGTCCCACAGCAATAATGCAACTACAACTAGCAATAGTCAGGAATCTCTTCCTAAGTCTCAGAAAAAGAATTCCTTTTTGCAACACTAACACTGATTGCTTGCTACAACACTGTAAAAATCGCTAAAATGTTTCTCAGGTGGAATGTTTGTGGTATTCCATACTGCATTTCTTCTGCAGACAGCAAGCAGGAACAGGGACAGGCAGTGATGTGGCAGATTACCAGGTGTTAACCTACTTTATTGAATTTCAGTCACTACTTTAAATTTGTGTTAGAACACCTTGAAGACTAAGGTAAGCCTGCTGAGATGAGAAATTCATGAAAATTCAAGTTATTATAATAAGATACACAAAGATTTTTATAAAACACTGATCTATTATGACAGGTTCAATTTCCTTCCTGTCTGAAACACATTAAATTTTCAACCTCAACAAAAAATAAAAAGAAAATTCAAACTCAAGACAAGGCACTTCAATCTACTTCATCTATGAACTTTTCTTAGTGTCAGATCTTTGAATAACTACAACAATATCTGTCCATACTCCAGAGCAATTATTTTTCACCACCTAGAGCCTGTTGTTTTGTGACAGCACAGTTCTGTACTTCATAGGGAGGCAGCAGAACTGTGATGCACAAACATGGCTTACTTTAGAGAAAGAGGAAAGACAGCTTAGATATTCTGAGATTTTAATGGGCACTTTAAGTTCTTCAGAGCTGGAAAAAGAAGCAAAAGTAAAGAAGAGTAAAGAAAACTTTATAAAACTGCAGCCAACCCAGAAAAATCTAAAGGTGGTTTTACTTGAGCTCATTTGACATCATGACAAGTGCCTTGACAAGGCTGCCTGTTTTTACAAGCTGAAGGCTAAACTTTACCATCTTCTCAGGTGCAATTCTCTCACTGAATGCACATAATTAGGAACAAAGCTTTTAAGGCTTTAAATGGATTAGGTCATGATGACTTCCATGAACAAAGGCTGGCAGCACCAGGCTCTGTGAACTGCTGAGGAATTACAGCAGCCATAGCAATGAACCCCTGCCTGACCCCAGGGGCCTATCCTCAAACAGAAACTGAGGAGCTCCTTTCCAAAGTACCTTTTTCATTTCATTTTCCAGGTTTTCCTCCTCCTGGCCCTCTGACAGTCTCCTCCTGAGCTCTGCAATTTCCCGCTCCATGTTCTCGCGGTACTGGCTCCACTGAGCTCGCTCCTGCTCCATCCTGTGGTGATACTGCAGCTCATAGTCACGGACAGTCTCTAGAAAACAGCATTTTCAAAACTTCTTTTCAATGTAAGTTAAAGAACAGGGCTTTAGGAAGTCCATCTCCAACCACTCAATGATTTACTATAATTAATCAAAACTAGGACAACTCTGCCTTCCCTCAGACTCCTGCCCCAAAACCCAAATACATAAGTAAAAGAACTGAAACTAAATTTCAATTAGTACTATCAACAGAGCAGAGAGAAACAATCCCCCAAAACTGTGCAATTCCTAATTTCAAGGTAATGTACATGACTAATATCCTGTTTAGCAGCACACAAGTACATCATTGAAACAAATTACTAGAGCCTTAAAAAGGTACTCCAAAATGCAAAGAAACTCAAACTTCTCATAGTTTCCATTTCCCCAGGATTCACACCACCCATCTCAGCGCAGGAGCTGCCTGTTTACACAGGGACAGCAGCTGGCACAGCTGAGCCCTCATCTAGGCTCATGTATCTGTGTAGATCATAAATAAACAGACTTTGTGTACTCAATATACATGAAGGTTTGTCTGTTCTGGGTGAAAAGCACAATGAGGTGATGGAAAAACTGCACACAGCTGACAGGCTCTAGGCTCAGGGTAGTGTGATCCTGTCTGTGAACCTTTAAGAAAACACATTTGTGGCAATAGTCTGTTCCCAGTTCATATCCTTGTGTTCATTTCCTTTGTCTCAGAAATGTCAACAGCTGTGCAATGTGCAAATATAACAAGGAATAGATGAGAACAATTAAAAATACCCACCCAGGACTGAGAGAGCAGCATGTGCAGTCAACACCCTGGGGGAAGGCCCATGTGAGTACTGGAGGGACACTTGACTGTGTGAGAGCAGAACTGTGTTCACACAGAAGGAAAAAAGAGAATCATGCTGGCAGCTTAAAGCTGTTTGCAGACTTGTCAAATTACAGGCATCATACTTATCTTTGTGGAAGGATGAAGTAACACATTCATAGTCCCACAAAAAAGCTTTGCATATACATGAGGTTCCCATGGCCATGAATTCTAAATTCTGTCCTCAAGCTGACAATAAAAAACCCATCAAGCTCCTTTTCACAACCCTGAGAACTGCACTTCATCCAGCCCTTCTGCAGCTTTCCCAAGCCATACCAATTACCCATACTCTGAGGAAGAGCAGGCACAAATCCTTATAAAATCAGGGTGGCTGATCTCAGCACAGCTTGCCTGGCTGTTACCTTTCATGATGGCCTGGAGGGAAGCCACTTCTTCTTGCCACTGCCTCTTGACCTCATCGATGGCCTCCTGCTTGGTGGTCTCTGACACGGTGGCGATGGCCTTGATGTTCTCCATCTCAGCGTGGGCCTCCATCAGCTGCGTGCGCAGCTGGCCCAGGTCATCCTGGGCTGCCTGCAGCACTGCATTCTGCCTTTTCAGGTCCTCTGAAAGGAGCATTGCACACATTTAGCTGCATTCATGAGTTCAACCTGAAGGGTAGCCCCTGTTGCTATGGCAAAGAGCAGAAGGGAGCGAAGGGAGCGCTGGTATTAAAACATCACCTGTAATGACTGAACAAATGTTGGCAGGTCTCTTCAGGGAATGCTTTTTCTTGACTTTGCTTGCCCTTGCCTTTTATTAAAGCATCTTATGGATGCAGACACAAAGCAGACACTGGATATAACTAGGATCAATATACTGTGCTTTTCATCAGTTCTTACTATTTAACTTACTCTGGTAATGAATCTGAAAAAGGCATGAACAGACTGGAAAACATTTTTCCCCCCATTTCTGGGAACAACTTGGTTCTCAGTTTGGATGGAACACTTCCTATTTCTTGAACAGAAACGCTCTGTGATCATTTTGGAGAAAAGAAAAATACACAGCCTAATTTGCTCTTTACCAAAGACTTTGGTAAAACTGAGCTTCTACAAAAAAAAGGGATACATTCAATGGTACAGCCACTATTTCTCTAATTGTTGCAAACATAAACAGAAATTATACTAACTTCATATTATTCTCCTGAGTTCTCAGCTAATCTGAAATAGCTCTGGAAGACATATATTACATAATTAATTCCAAAAGCACTAACATAAAATATGTATTTTATGCCCACATAGCCTGCTTCAATGGCAATCCCTTTTAGCAGAAACATCTGGCCAGCACACAACCAACACCAAGCTATATCCATGTAATTCCCTCAGGGCCAAAAAGCTGAATCAATCCTGGTGCTCTCATCCTGACAGAGAATATAGAACCCAGAGCTAATCAAATACTTAAAAGGACATTAATCCTTGTGTAAAAAAAACCCAAGACTTTGTGGCATTAATATTCTTAGTTTTCAAATGACAGTATTAAAGATGGGTCCCAACAGTCCCAATGAATGTTTAGGAGAGGGTCTTAGAGACAGGGAGGGGGAGAACTTTGGGGTGGGAGGTAAAAAAAGAAAAGTAATTGCTTGTATATTCTCCTCTGGTGTCCTTTCACTTCAGTAGCTGTGAAAGTTGGGGTGTTTTTTCTTCCCCTATCACAATTTATTTTGTATTTTTTGACTGTACCAAAATGGGAGAATTATTGCTGATCTCATCAGTAGTGTCTTGTATCTTAAACTTCCTTTCATCCAGCCTTAGAAACACAAGTAAATAGGCTTGCTGTATGATCCAATCTTCATTATGCCTGTTGTATTTCTGCTCTCATAAGCTTATACAGCAGCTGCAGTCCTAATGCATTATGTTTTGGCTCTGCTTTCATATGTTAAAGACAGGAAAATCATCAGAATTAGATAAATCAATCTGGCTCTCAGAACAGCTATCTCTACTCTCTGATCCTTCATCAGATATTTGAGCTCATATGATTTAAATTTTCCTATCAATTTTGTTATTGAAATAGATGCCCTTGGCTGTTATTAAAACTTTTATAGTGTTTGCCTGCTTACAGCCTACCTCAGATGGAAATTTAAGACAAATAAATGCTACATAAAAAAAAAGGCCACAGAATAGAAACAGCACAGCATCCAGGCTATGTCTTCCCATTTAGCAGATCAGCTCCTGCTCAGAGAGCACAGCCTGAATTCAGGAAATCTGTATTAAAACTCACTAGTGGTATTTCTGCATGGACATCAAGTTGCTTTTGCTCCTTTCCGTGAGGCAAATCTTTAAATTTAATTCCAAAGTTCATTCTAGAATGCTCAATAGTCATCTATTGAATCTCTTACATTCTTATTATAACTGTCTAAAAGACTATGCTTCATACAGGGATTATTTGAAGATGAAGTTCAATAAATTTTAGAATAATTCAGAGAACTAAGAACTTACCTTCCTTAGCCAGGTATAACTCCTTAAATTTTGCTCTCTTTTGATTAAATTCTTGCTCAAGTTGCTGCTTTGTGCGCAGAAATTCTGCATTGACCTTTTCCAATTCTGCTACCCGTTGTAGAAGAGCATCTAAAAATAAAGCAGAAGATAAGGTACGTCACTAACAGTTACCCAGACATCCCATTCTGCAAGGCTGAAGTTTGGGGCTAACTTTTTAAAATATCTTTACTCATTAGCTCTGCTCCATGATAATGAGGAAAACTAGCCAGTCCTGTAAGGAACAAAGGAAGGTAGGTTTTCTTTAAACTGTAACACCCAATTCTACTTAAACATCTCTAGGGAAGTAGAGGGAATGTGGCAGGGAGTTCTGAAGAAAACAATCTTCCAAAGAAAGCCACAATTTGATATATACAATGAAGGAAGAAATAGAAATAATTCTGGTGATGGTTTTTTTCCCCTGGGAAGTGTGTGAGGGCTGAGCAATAAAGCACCAAGTGCTCAGGCTGAGGTCCAAGAAAGCAAAGTGACAGCAGCTCAGCTAACAGCTATGAAAGGGCAAAGCACAGGAAAGAAACTGTGAGCTAAAAATTAGGTGCCATCATCAATCCAGTTCTGCATGTTAACCAAAAGATGAACCAGATTACATCTGGAGAAGTTTTCCAGAAGATGGCCACAATCTACAGAGAATAAATTGACTATAAGATCAAACTCTCCTCATTTCCAGCAGATAAAAATCCTCAAGGGGGCACATACATCACTTTGTTTTCCATAATTTACCACATCAGCCTTTCATCTGGTGGTACAACAAAAGAAGGAAGAGTAGGACGCCTACAAACATTGTTATAACATGCTTATTATTGAAAAAAATCCCGTATTATACCATTTTATGATGCTATAAAGACCCCCTACAACCACCAATCTACGTACATGTGCAATATCAAACTCAAGTTCTGCTCTAGGTGGCAGTTTCAACTTGCACACCTCAGAACTCAAATATGAAATAGAAAGAAAAGACTGATGAATCAGAACAAAATACATCTCCCTGCTGCAATGCACTGGGGAAAAAAAATGTTCTTCTCTATGAGTCTCTGTGTGTTCTGCAAAAGCATTTTGTGGGCATGTTCCAACTCTGCTGTGCAAAGTGAATCACTTCAGTTACAGCCTCTATATAGCACAGACTAGATACACAAAATATTGATCCAGCAGAGGTGTTTGTGTATCCCATCCAACACTTCCCACCACGTTCAAGTAGTGAAAACATTCCAAAGGCTACACAACTTCAGCATCAAACATTTATGCTCCCAAACAGCTGGAGTCAGCTCCACAGCTTGCAGGGGTAAAACACTGGCTGGGCAATGCCACTGAGATGGGGTCAGTTATTTTTGGTACCAGATGACGTAGAGTAAGAGCAGACACAAACAAAAGGAGCTTCTGAGAGCACAGGTATGTTTTACTGATTGCTGGTTATAAGAGCTTATAGTGTTACAAAATACAGCACCTAATCTCTTCAGCTCTGTACTGAATAAAAGAGAAATGCAGATGTAGAACTGACAAAATTTTAATGTAGCTTTTTTAAAAAAATCCTAATTTTGGAGTTTTTTATCACTTTAAATACAAACACATAGTTTTTTCTGGCCAGCAGAGAGGAGGGTTAGTTCCTTATGTGATAGATCCTTATGTGGATAGTTCAAAGCCAACTGCACAGGAGTGTTCTCCAGAAAATGAAAGGAATCTTTCAGCAGCAAAGACACTGAGAGCAAAGCTTTAAGTGAGTTCAGAGAGTGTCTGGATCAAAACCAGGGATGAAACAGCACACACAAAACCAGGTCTGGGTAGGAAAAACGCTTCCCAAGGTTAAAGGGTTGCCTTTGATCTCTTGCTGAAGTCTTGCAAAGGGAAAGGGTTTGCTTGTGCTTCCACTCCCCACAGTCCAGTGCAGAGCCTGCAGCCACTGGGGCACCTCCTGCTCCACACCCACCACGAGCTGGGCTGGCCCCAAGGAGCTGGGCTTGAGCTCAGCTTCAGCTCCTCAAGGGAAACTCCTGCAGGCACCAGAGCCTCAGGGAGCTGTGTGCCAGGGCCAGCAGGCAGCCCTGCACCCACAGGTACCACCCTGCAGCCTCACACACACATCCAACTGAACAAGGAGGAAGCTGGACATCATCCATGCACACACTCTTTTGAAGATCATACAAATAAACTGTTTCATTCTACAGTTAGTAATCCTGAAAGTTAAATCTACTGTAGACTCAACTCTCCTGCCCTCAAAGATGACTCGAGCATTCCTTGTTTACTTAATTCCCTTTCCATCTTCCCTCAGCAGAGAGACAGCAGCAGCTGTGCTGCTGCTCCCATCAGAAAGTGCAAAGCAACCAAGCTGTACTTCTTCTGAAGGTGTGAGTTGCTTCTGCTGAGGTTGGAAGGGCAAGAGGACACCCCAAGAGCAGAATGTTCAAGTGCTTTCAGCTGGGGAACAGACTCATCCTTTTGAAATCTTCCTGCCCAAACAGAAAGAGGGAGGGTAGAGCCACCAAGAAGGAAATGAAATTTAAATATTTACATTTTTTACAGTATTCCCCCCTCTCTGCAGCCTGGCAGTTATGTCTAAAATGTAATAAATAAATAACTAAATAATCAACCCCCTCCACAAGTGAGCTCTGGCAGCTGTCAGGGCCAGCTGCAGGCATTCAAAATAACAAGCAGTTTAAGATCCCAACTGCAGGTCATCCATCACTGCAACTGTGCAGTAACATTGTTCTTTCGATTCTATACTAAGTTTAAAGTGGTTTTACCACCTGTGCTACATGTACAGTTCAGGACAGACCTCAGCACATCCCCACTACAGGGAGACAAGGCACAAACTTGAGGACAACAGGCTTTATAGGTCAGCATCAACCACCTCAAATGCACCTGCACTAGAAGTAAAAGTGAAATAAAGTTTATTTTCTGAGACACCCTATAAACTACCACCTTTCTTTTAAGTGATTAGGTTTACAAAGAAATTATTTTCTTCTTCAGAGGTACAATTTGTACAAAAGCCATACAGACACTTCCCAAAACACAAGTGCTCTCCCAAGCCCAGTCTGCCAGGCACAGGTACCCTCGGGCTCCAGGGCACAGATCAGAGTCCACCTGGACACGCATTGGAGTCAATGGCAGCAAATGGGCTCATCCATACATTTCCAATTTGTCATTTATCACTTCATTTTCACTTTGAATTTAGGTCCAACTCACCCCAGGCTTATAACAGAGCTGAAAAAGAAAACTGTAAGTTGCTGTCAACTAAAAGGCAGCCCTAAAGCAAGGCATCCATTTGCAGGCAGGGCAGGGATCAATGTTTAACCAGGGATGGGGCAGAGCAAACACGGCCGAGCTGGGCAGCGCTGCTGGAGCCCTGCCCGCTGCACCCGGAGCGGGGACACACGGCAGGCACAGAACGCTCTGCATCTCCTCACACAAGACACAATTCCCTATTTAGGGCCCTAAGTCATCAAGAAATAAACAAAAAGCCTAAAGAAACCCCCCAAAATTCTATCGATTTCTTAACTTTGGGAATAACACTGAGAAAATTTTAAATTAAAATATTAACAAGAAATCCTTCTGGCCAACAATTTTAAATAGTGTTTTTTTCCCAGATTATTAGTGTTTTTTCACAGACTACAGATGACAGAGTTATAGATGCCAATTAAATCAGTAGTTTTATTCCTAGCTGGCAACACTGATTTTGCAGAGACACTCCAGGTCAGACACAGGGATCCCCATCTCCTGTGGAGCACTGACATTACAGCAAAGCACAGTGAACATCATCGGGTGCCTTAACCAGGGAGAAGAACTCAAAAGAAGGGCAGCAAAATCCATTTCAGAGCAGACTCATCAATTTACAGGAGAACCATCAAACTGCTGCAATACAGGAAGAGAAACTCCAGTGAAAAAAGCTACAGCTTTCTCTTAACCCACTGCACAGCAAAATTTCAATTCTAGGAAAACATAGGGAAAACACACATTTCTTATTGACTAGTTATTTATATGCTGTTCCACAGATTGCTCCAAAAAGAGCTGAATTTTATATATTCAGTTTCCAGTTACACAAACATGTAGCGATCATTCCAGCATTAAGACAGACAAAGCTGATTATCAATAAGACTATTTTTGAGTACTAGGTCTATTTATAAAATTAATGCCATGAAGCTTTCTGCTTGATATTTAAAGAGTCAAATATGACATCAAGAGTTCAGTCCAACAGAGCTGAAATATGAAAACAGAGCAGAAAAAAACCTATATGTACAATCAACTTTTTGGATACAAAAAAAATACATATTTTCTGTCATTTTCTACCATTCTTTTGCTGTTATCATTGCTTGAGAAGTATGAAAAATACTTATTTCTATGAGTATGAGTTTCTACTATAACTTTCTACTATTTTCTATAAGCACCAATTTTCATCTATCATGACATCATTCTGGAGCCCACAATTATGCTACTTCATAAACTTTTAATCTAAGCCTGCCACCAGACTGTTCACACAGACTGCTAAAAGCTTTTCTTTATTTTACTCAAACAGGATTTGATGAAAAAAGAAAACCAACCCCCCCACTCTTACAATAAACCCCAATTTAAACCACATAAACCCCAGCTGTTTGCATGAGGCACTCAGAAGCAAAGGAACAGATAATGGTTTTTGAATAAGCATGTTAAACAGAAGCAATTTCTGACTTATGAAATGGGGTTGCTTTTTTTTTTCAAGAAATATTTGCCCTTACACACAGATATCCAACAGCAGCAGATCAAACTGAAGGGGGAAAAATAACCAGGAAGAAAATAATTACTTGCTTTTCTCAAACTTGCATTTGCAAGCATCAAGCATTTTATTTACCAGGCCAAATGGCTCAAGCTCACTGGTCACACACTTTCCTTGTTTTATTTGAGGGCAGAGAATGACCCCTGACTTCTCACTTGCCACCTTCTTTTTCAGAGTGGCACCAAACGCCTCCGACAGTCACAGCTCCCCTGTCAGAGTGTTCAACTGTGTGTGGTGAGGAGAACTCAGCCCCAGAAAGGGGAAAAGCAGGGGGTTCTGCCCCACTGCCCTGCCCTGGCACAGGGCCTGGAATTCAGCATCAGAAAAAGGAAGAGCAGGGAGGGTTCTGCCCCACAGCTGTGCCCTGGCACTGCACCTGGAATTCAACCCTAAAAAGAGGAAAAGCAGAGAATTGTGCCCCACAGCTCTGCCCTGGCACAGGGCCTGGAACTCAACCCCAGAAAGGGAAAAGCAGGGGGTTCTGCCCACACCTGGAACTCAGCCCCAGAAAGGGGAAAAGCAGGGGGTTCTGCCCTACAGCCCTGCCCTGGCACTGCACC